ACAAACTTTACAGTGCTGATTTACTGATTCCATCTAAGATTTACAATTTACAATATTAATTTTTTGCAAACATTACGGTAATAATTTATAATTAAACTCCCTAAACACATTAAGAAAAGCTAATTTATAGTAGAATGTTTGTATTTTAGCGATACGTTTGATAACTTTTAATCGACTCCATTGAATTTACATTTCGTTAGATTTCTATGTGGATGCGGTCTACGCTTACCTAGCAAAAGCATTGGGTACTTAGATCTGTTGGTATAGTAGAACAATTTGATTAAAGTATTTATTAATATGTTCGTATCCAGTGTGTGTTTTCCATAGTTCAGCAAGTCAAAGGTTTTAACTATACATTTACACTCATTGTGAAAAATTAGACACCATTTTTTTTCTCTTTAAACTCGGTCGTAATTTTAAGTTGCAGTAGTTTATTAAACCTGATTAATTTGCACGTGCCTAGGGTTGGAAGCCACAACTTTCTTACTTTTATGTTACCACAATCTCGCACACAACAACATTCATTTCTTCACAATTAATTCATGTAGAACAAATGCGATAATGAGATTTAAAACATATTTAGTAATAAAGTAGTATTTATAATACATATGTTTGATTTGTTTTCAGATATTCCTATATGACCTTTAGTCTGTGGGATTTAATGGTATTTTATATGATAGGAGTAAGTGAGAGAAATGCTATATTATAAGCGAATGAGAATGTAGGGTCACGAGCGCGCTAGAGCGAGTGATACTGCTCTCACGAACTTATAATGGCAAACCGCTCACGTATGATATGCTACGTTTTACCTTACAGTAGCAGCTTTTACGTAAAAGTAAGAATCCAAATTGAAAAGTCATTCAATCTAAAAAATCGTGTTGTCATTAGATGTATTAGTAGTACTTGTGAGCACTTTATTTCACTTGTTAATAATGTTGAATTTTTTTCTCGTAAAAGGGTTGCATAAACTACCCCAAAACCTACTACTGTAAGATAAATAAATTTATTATTGTGTCAAAAAATATGCCTTTTTGAAATTAAAATGGCAATCAAAATGCCCACTTTATATAGCAATTGTAGAAAAATAACTATTAAAGCTCTAAAATGCCGAGTTTATCAAATTCGCTTTCATTTTATTTTTGAAAGCAACACAAATTAAGCTTCTTAACTAAAGATGACAACTTATTACAAAATTTAATATTATTCGCGATTTATTTATCCTGAAATAAATCACACCTAAACTGATAACATTTGATTTCATACTTTGAATGAGCGAGTAGTAGGTATTGTAAAGTAAACACGTAAATAAACTACTACCGTAAAAATACGAAATTTTATAAAACCTGAACGGCATTCAACTCTAAAGAAAGACAAGCGATTTAAATTTCCTTTAACACAAAACCATGAGACTAACAATGAAATCATTGAAAATTTTATAGATTCGTACTACCAAAAAACGGTACGGGATCTATTGTTATGAGCAACTAGGTAAATACAAGATAATAATTAAATAATGCCTTTGATAGGATGAGACAATTACGAAAGCAAACAAGATGCAGTTTCTTTTTATGTTGTCAAAGTTATTCAGTTCACCGAATCTTTGTTGAAACTCACGTTATTACGCTTCTTGGTACAACAGTATTTTTGTTTTAAATAATATATATAAATATTTTGTTTTGTCATTAAACAGTAATTTTTAATTTTCAGCTCTCATTGTTGTTTCGACGTTGTAAAACTGTTACAAATAAAACTGTTTGTACCTAGTGTTTTGATTTTTGTACCAATGAGAAACAATCTAAAACATGTTACATAAAATAAATGCCAGCGCACTTATTTACTAATTTTGTAGGAGGAATAAATTAAAATTCCATTGATTTAGATTTAATTTTGAAAAGCTAATGAAAAATGTGTATAAACAAGTTCATATAAAAAGAACATGAGGGTTCATAAAAAATATCATATTAAGCTTCTTATATTCTAAGAGCTAACGACCGATTTACTTCATATATTTCAGTGCTCACAAAAATAAGTGGATGAAGATACCGACGAGAAAAAGCAACCAAAAAATATATCTACATACGACATTACCAAATAAAATGAAATAATTGTTATGATTTATTAATCTATATTAAATTTTGTCCATTCAGTCTATTACGTAAAAAAAAATAAATTCTGAATTACCTAAAAATGGTCAATCTTAGAATACTTTCATTGATCCAGCGTCTTCAAGTTTTATTTTGTAACAAACAAAATTAAAAACCTAAAACTTCAAACTTTCTACTCATTTATGCTCATTTTTCTTGTGTATAATGGGAAAACTCATCACCATAAAATGAAATTCACATACATATGCTGTTGCTTTTGGCAAATTTCTAAATTGAGAATCTTCACATCTGCAAAAATGTAAAATAAAATTTTCAGCACCATGAAAACAGTGTCGGGAAATAGAAAAATTTTAATTTTCCAACAATGTCCCTTGGGTGTCATAAAAAAGAAGCGATCATTTCCAAAAATTAAATGCGAGAAAAGTCGTTTGGCTAAAGAAATGGTTAAGCAGCACTATTCTTCTGTTCATACCTACCTTTCCAAGAGTCGCCCCACAACCCTCCTATCCATTTTGATGTCCATAAATGTTGTAGACTTATAGAGGAATTGATAATTTCTATAACATGAACTGTATCTTATTTTTACCCATAATTCAAATAACTAGGTATAAAGAAAATACTTGCGACGTTTCTGAATTAAAATCCGGTGAGGTTCCGCCATAAAACAATATAGATTCTCGTGAACTTTAATTGTGGTATTGCAAATGTATTATTAATAATAATTAAATTTTGAAAGAAATCACTGTAGTAAAGTTAACGCCGCTTTTTTCGTACTACATTTACGTGGAACAGAAAATGAAAAATACATACAACTTGTTCTGAAATATATTCTCAAGTTCTGAAGTATATTCTACTTTAGTTTTATTTATTTTCCCTGCTGAAATCGGTCAGCTTGTGTAATTTTCCTTTGTGAATTCATGTTTCTAGTGCTTACCTATAACAAAGGTAGATTATTTTAAATTATTTTCGTATAACCCTTATGTACAGTGAAATTTTGATTTATTGAAATTATTTATCAGAAGTTAAAAGTAAAAGTGTTTATTTTACACTTGAATTGCATCTCACCCTTCCAGCAGTTAAATAAAATATTTTTAACCTTATTCTGAATACCTTTTTTATGACATTGAAAATAACCCCTAATATTGTTTGAATAACATAATATACATAATATTTTACATTTGCATAATTTTTATTCTCTGCATGATGCTTTTTATCGCTAGATTAAAGCTTTATATAACCTCTTAACACATAATTATTAAAATATTACCAGGAAAAAGAACAACTCCATTACAAAAATTGCAGAAATAAACCCTACTAACAATTGCGGCCGGCGAAATAAAACTGTAAACGAGGGAAATAAACATTCTGTAAAGTTAATTTACGATCTTTATGTAAAATATGTGTGAAAGCTTACATTAAAATTTTAATTACACGCTTTCAAATGATATTTTTAAAACACAACTGAACGTAGTTTATACACGATATTAAATATTTAGTTTTTCAAGAAATGTACGCATTATTTTAAACGTTCAAAAGTAACATTCGCAATAAGTACCTACTTTAAAAAGCTACTTCCGATCTGTCAATCAAATCAGTTACGAATCATCAAAAAAAGGTACTGCTATTAGAATTTAAAGACATTTTAAAGTTTTATATTGAAGAAATGGTCTAAGTTGTTTAGACAGAACTTGTCTCGCCAACGTTCAATCAATCAAATTCCAATTTATTAGGTAAATTATAAAATTTTATTTTCCGAATTTTATTTTTTTTTGTGATAATAAATATTTAAGTAAATAGTGTAATACTAATAATAACAGTGCTGTACTCCCAAATTTTTGGAAAATGGAGTGAGCCCTTCTTGATTTAATCAATAAAATACGGTTTACCATCTTTACGATAAGTTTAAAACGTTTGAAAGATTTCAGATTCAGTTTTGTAGTTTCTGAATGAAATTATAAACCGTTGTTATACATTTTTACAAAACTCTGGGTGTCTAGGGTCAAGGAGGATTCATAAAATAAAAAGATATTTTATAAAATTTAAATCGGATTTATTACACACAATTTTGAAATGACGTCATCACAAAAACGGAAACGGAGGCCGTTAAATCGATCTTCAACCTATCTTCACAATTAATTGTCGGATATCTTCACCTGCAAAGTTGTGTTGCTGTTTCTAATGATCTGTCGGAGTTTTCGTGGTGTTCCCTATGAACGTTTTTAACTGATAACAAAAGGCTAAATCTTTATATAATCCTGCTACTTGCTTAAAAATTTTTAACGTTTGATAAATCATCAAATACTAGTGGGAAAATGTATCTAGCAACATATATTGCGAGGAAACTGATTTGTAAGCAAGTCATCCTTGGTCACGATTTCGTCTGTCTGCGCTAAAGTCGCCTAAACTTTACAGTTATCAACTGAATTTAGAGCAGTCATACGAATTCACATTCATAATCATAATTTGCTTCATCATAATAAATTAACTTGCTTAAAACTTATATCGATATGCATTTATTTTATTGAAATGCATTTCTATTAACTATAGAAATAAAAATATTACTTCGAATTTGTCTAGATTCAAATACGTTTTTCCAAACCCCAACAAGTTCTTTCATTCATAGATAAAACTAATAGAAAGACATGTGCAATCTGAAACATGAATAAATAAATAAAAATAATTGACCATGGTGAAGCAATGAAATTTACGATAAACAAACAGCAATAGAAATTGATTAAAATGTGATGGGTGGTTAAGTGAGAGAATCACGTTCTACACAAAAATCAAGAGCACCCATCATCATAGGTGGAGGCAGACTAATCGTTGGCGGGAGGCGGATCAAATCTCCTTTATAAAACGGCCGAATGCAGGAACGAACATCACAGTTTACGAGTCCTGTTGCGCTTCAACATCAACAAGCGCAACAAGTAACGAACATTTTTCTAGTTTCGTTTAAAACTACAATTTTAAAAAAATGTGTCACAAAACTACCGGTGTGTCACCTTTACCCGTCAAACTTGCAAAAATCACAGTGATCGTGATCTTCTTTTTCTTCGCCGAGTGTGCGGCTGGTGAGTTCAACGCTTATGTGCATATTTGTGTTACACATTTAGTACAAAAATAATTGAAAAATTTCGTTAGTTTTTCCGTTAAATTCCGACATACTGGGGAATTTGCTATTATATGAAGCTAATTAGGATTTTGTGTTCAATATTTCACGGACGTTTGAAAAATAAGCAGACGCTAATTAAATTCATTGCAACTATATTAAAATATTGCATTGCTTTGTTTACGCCATGGGCTATGTATCTGAAGTAAACAAAAAGTTAATTATTATTTATCACCGTGCTTGTATTATTACATCTAAAAGCACCCTACTTTAGGGCGAATATTATAATTGTCACATATTCAATAATATAAAGCAAAATTATTCTAATAATATTGGTGTTAATTATTAGAAAAAATCAATATTTTACGTTGTTATTTGTTACATTTGATTAATTCAAAAAATGAAATTTATATGTCCTTGTACTTAGGATTTTTCTGACTACTTAGGTAAATATGAAAACGAAGAATAATTTCTTTAAAACGAATGATATTTAAAAATATGGTGTCAAAATAACTAAGTTATCAAATTTTATAAAAATAAAACTTTTTAATATTCGTAGTAAATACATTCTTTGCACATATTCGTGTAGAGAATAGTTAGGAACTGAAAATAACGGCATTTATTTGCAATACGATAATGTTACAAATTTTACAAAATATAACAGGAATTATACCTACAAGTTTTAGTAGAACACACATACATACCCCTTTTAATTAATCAAATAAACTCACCTCTTAAGGAACATTTATTTTAAAGGGCAAATGCTAAGTACATACTCGAACTTATGTTTATCTTTCTCTAGTATCTACGAAAAGACATTGTTGGACTTGTCCTATTAAATTATTTATCCACACATAGTCTAAATTTCTATTAGATTTTCATTACACATCTTTGTTCTCGGCGAACGCAACGAAAAACCTTTGCTCATAACTAATACTCATAAGTAAGGGTAAAATTTTAATTTTTAAGGTACTTTACGCTAACACCCGTATCTGGCCGTCGATTTTAAAAATAATTATGTTTACCATGTGAACACGCCGGCCTTAATCATTAAAATTGGTTTTGTGTTTGTTTCAGAATTAGTCGTTCTATCACTTACTAAAATTACATTTACTCCTGCAACTTTTTTAGAATCACTAGAAGTGAAAACTGTGGTTTTATTCATTTCATCGAAGAGCTATTACTGGTAACAAATTAGAAGTATTTGTTGACACAACTTTACACCGTGTACAAAAGGTGTGAGGACGGGAAAATTGATAGCATTACAGTAGAATAGTACGTTGTAGTCACACTCGATCATTTATTTATAAACTTATCAGATCAAATAATCTAAAAAATTTCTCGGACTCGAGCACAGAATTTTCCGAGGTTGTGTTTTAGCATTTTCAAATGTATTAGCAGCGGAAGTTTGTCCATTTCAACTCGAAAAACTTTGAGTAATTTATCTTTTTAAGGTAATTATCTACGTTATAACAACAAAATACTTTTACGCCAGTTTTAAGGCCGCTAACTTTATCACGCATTTTGGTTGAAGAAGTGGTCAAATACTGTTTTGTAATTTTGTGGAAACGCACCAATCGCTCTTTGTGAAAAAAACTCTTTTGCCTCTACCTAAAACAATATAACCAATGAAATTCAACACTTTGAACGATAAAAAGTACAAAGTTGAAATTAATTGATTTAAGCTTTCAGGTGTCAGCTTGTTGCAATATTTTCAACACAATAAAATTCGGTTTAATCAAAAAGTAACCTACAATGAACAAAAGATAGCTTGGGGTATTTTTTAATTGAATTTCTTTTACAGGTTCATGCCTCAGCTATGGCCATGCATGTTGGGGTGGTAAGAAAATCAATAGTCAAATTTAAATATAATTTCTTATATATATTTTACTTCAATATTTATTACAAAGTAGATGAGTTTTAACACTATTCGAAATGTCGAGACAGTAGAAATACTTTTAAGTGTATATTTTCTTTGTAGCCCACGGAAAACGTGGTGGAAGTAGCCACACACAGCAAGAACCACCAAATGTAAACAAGGATGCTTCACTGATACTTGCAAAATTATTGCAACCCATTGACCTTCGTTATGCCAGCGACAGAGATATGCAGATGCCAACAAATCAGCAACTTTTTTCTGATGCTCAAATTGAAGCGGAGCTTTTAAAAGGGTTCGTAATTTAATATGACCAAGGTTTATTAAAATTCAGAAACTAATAATGCAGTTCATATAAAATCAACGAGGCGTGAAATTCGATTGTTGTATTAACTTTTTGATAGTTATATGATCCAACCTGCTAAGTGAAAGACACTTGTACGGTGTCCTCTATCAGAGAAAACCGCCCAAACTTTACTATCTAATTAAGCAAGTTTACAACATTACTGTCGCTAGGTGATCGAAGAGCCAGAGATTTTTTTACAAAAGTAGTAACTGCATATTAATTACGAATGCAGTTTGTAACACGAGACAAAATATATTATTGCAGATAAAATTATATGTTAAGAATATTATTACAAATGATTTTAATTTAGTGCCGCATAGGCGTGTAAATAACGTCAACAGCCTCTAACACATTTAAATTTTTTTCTCAAAGCCTACATAATTTCGGCTTTTGTTATGCGACTACTACTACAGATCTGTCGGAAATGATAAAATATGTATGATTTTCAATGCATTCCTTGAGAAGTTATAAAAGTTTTATGAGGAACAGAGTGTTTGTCCAGAAATGTGCTGTAACATATTATCTTGATAAGAATCGAAGTAAAAATCTGTGAAATGCCTTTATTTTAGGCAAGACGACTTCAGAAATTTACAAGACGGATATTTGAATGATGAAAATGTACTTGCCGATGACATGTACCCTCTTCAAAGGACTCATTCCCGCAGAGTAAGGGCCACAAAAGCATTAGTAAGTACCCAAGATAATTTAAACAGGATCATGTCATCACGTTAAATTTTTTTTCAGGAAAAGCGATCGACGCGAATGATTTGAAAAGGATTTCCAAGCGATATTTAATGTCTCTACTAATGTTTACGTAAAGTTTATCTTTCTAATTGTAACTTGACTGTTGAATTTTGTTATTATTTGTACATAATCCGTCGTTAGGTTTTGTTAAACTGGTAAGTTAGGCTGGATAACAAAATCTAATTCCTTAAAAATTGAAATGATATTTATGTGAGCCCTTTATGTCATTGTAAAGACTGTGTATTATTTAGTATTCGTATAATATTATAGTGACACGCTTGTTAATAAATTATTTATGTAAATCAGCTGCAATCCTCAGAACTTATCCCTGGTATGATACTAGTTACCCCTTGAAAAATAATCAAATTTTTCTTCCAAACTTTTAATTGCACGAAGTTTAAAACACTACATTATTCTCTCCAAAAAATTAAATTTATGTTTGGGATCTCCATACTGTTGCAATCGACAAATTCATTACTGAAAAACAATACTGCTAATGATTTAAATAATGTGATCTGATGGACTTACCCTTCAACGCCTGGTTTTTTAAAAGCATTAGGTGCTTGTCGTGCTAAAAGTGTTCCATCGCTGTTGTCACAAATCAAACGAGACATAGAGGTTTTACGTAATTGTTGAAGTTGTTCTGTGGTCAACATATTAGTAATTTAATTTTTACAATTACCAAACTTCGTATAATAAGCAAAGCAGATGTTTGAAATTAAACTTACCGAGGTACCTACCACTACACACAATATATAATACAGTAGACTTAAATGGTGTATGCCCATCGTATTGCAAATTGTCGTCATTTTACTAACTAATCACCTAATTTTTAAAAAATATGTGCTAGTGTAACGGTACTCTTATTTCTTTTCCTCTGACACTTTTTATTCATGTTAGTAAAATGACCGTAATCTACACCCGAATATATACTGTTTAAATTCTGTATACCTGGAGTAAAAAATCCCGGATTAATGCTTGGATGGTTTTCAAAAAAGTATCGATCCCCTTTTTTTAGCCTGTAAAACTGATCTGCTATAATGTCTCTGAAGGTGAATCCCACAATACTCTCCGGAGCTTTCTCTTCTAATAATCCTCCAACCCATAAATCGATATCGTTGACTGATTCATAAACACTTTTAAGTTTATCTCTCAACTATAAATGACGCTTTAAATCGCAACAGACTGACACAATCCGTGATATATATATACTTTAGGATTTAGTTCATCGAAACTTTTGATTCTTGTTAGTCCCACAAGTTCTCGGTAATCGTTGTAGGGCCGAAGTCCATGATCTCTGCCTCTTTGAATATTTAGCGAAGCTAGGTCTATGCCAAAAGCGTTGCCAGCTCGAAACATGTATCGTGTTAACTACAAAAACAAATAGTGTAAACTGAAAACAAATCACCTTGAGAACCAACAGCCTCCGCGATATTGTTGTCAACTTGTTGAAGCGGTTCTGTTGTTAATGTGCTTAAGAGTTCGTCCATGAAAAAAAGTTTTCGCATACGGTTTGGCTGAAACATTATCTCGGGAAGAAAAATCATTTCATCCATTCTTTCTTTTCCAAAGATTCTGCAAGTATGCATGGTGACAAAGCAAATTAGGTCTAAAGTTTGGAAATATTTACTTGAGAAGACCGTCAACAGTAGAGTGTCCAAAACGAAATGCCGCTGATGCAAATTCATTTGTTACAGATGGCTCTACGGAAGGATCATAGTCGTACGAATAATCCAATCCTTGAGATAAAGACAAACGAAATTCTTCCATTGCCGCATTTCCTACCACTATTGGCAAAAATTCTTTATAAGTAATGACCTGTAATTCGGCAATTACAATCTGTCGAGCTTCCAAAAAAATCCGTTCATCGTTCCAATGAGGATTTAATTTTGCAAGTTCGTAAGCCACTCTGTTATGTTCTCTAAGAAAAATAGTATGAAGTGCTACTAAGGAAATCATTTGATTAGTCCTGCTGTCGCCTACAAAAAAAAATAAATAAATATTGCAAGATTTGTCTAGTTATAACGTATATACCTGATAGGTAACAGGCTGAATTTTGTTCCTTCGACAGACATTCATCTGGATCTTCTGACAAAGGCAACATAGATCTACCAAAGTCGTTAAAAATTCGTAACATCCCCTTTTCAAAGTTCCTAAGCTTTCCAGTTTGTTCTGGGGTTGATCCATAAATAGACGAACCGTCAATAAAATGGGTGATTTTATTCATCTGTTCAGACACAGAAAGGTAAATACCATTCTGACATACTGGCTTTTAAACTCTCACCTGTTGTGCATACCCTAATGTACAGTCTTGCCTAGGAGCTAGCACAGATCTGACAAAATTCATGCATTTTTGATGAAAACGGCCATAAAATGGATCATTTGGAGAAATATCTATTGCCATACATGCGTAATGACGATCCTGATGGGGCAGCTTCATTCGTCCATCCAGAGAGCAACAAGATATAGCGCTACCATTTACTAAAATGTCGAAGTAATATTTTAAAATTACCATAATGTTTCAGTAATTACTAAACGAAAACTCAAGCGATTGTGTTATATCGTGTGATAAAAATTGGCCAAACTGCATCACCATCAACGTATAATCATAGTTGAACACATCTTTGTCAGAAATAAGTGTTGTACTGATGAGTCTAGGACTAACAAGAGGAACACCTCCATTTTCGGACAGTCGAGGCATCCAAATTCCTTAAACAAATAAATCTTCAATAACATTTTAACGCAAATTATGGGCCAACGTTGATTATTTCATACCATCTTTGTAACTTGGTGGTAATAGTCGCGAATATGGTGTCATTCCACTACCCCAGGCTGAATTAAGTTCATTATTGCAAGCTCCATCAATTCTCCGATATCTTACTGGAATGACTGGACACTTGGGTTTTGGAGGACAAGCCACACCAAGTGGAGTAGCACTTAAATCTTGTTCCAACATTCCAACTTCAATCTCGTCATTTGTGAGTCCTTGACTAAAACAGTCAAAATCATTTTTCAGCTGTATTTATAATCTTAAAATCAATAGTTGAATAAAATTTCTTATAAACCTACCGATTTTTAAAATCCCTTGTAGCTAGAGCAATTTCCATTGCTCTAGATGCTAAATCCAGTACTGCTGATAAATCTGTTTTGCTCATTAATTTAAAATTTTTAAAGTGATCATAACTGGGAGATCCAGGAAAAACAAAATAACCATCCGCCAGCAATACAGACTCTTTCACTTGAAACTCGTGTATTTTTTCTTGACTATGTCTAGCAATTAAATCCATCGTATGCGCATTCATCCTCACGACATGATGACGACCATGTAATTTTTTGTGACCAGGTTCTATATACAGTTTGAAATGATTTATCAAGTATATCGGAAATAAATAAGAAAAAAACAACCTGTGTGGTTTTGTCCTGATGAACAGCAAATGCCTTCAAGTCCAGTAACTGATTTACAAATATTTTTTACTTCGTTACGTACATGTGCTGGACATTGTATATATGGAACACAATATGATATTCCTGTGCAAACGTCTTTATGATTTTCGGAAAACAGTTTATGTTTTAAATTTGTTATATTAGAGTTTCTTGCCTGATGGGGTAAATTTATAAGTTGATGGCTTTGTTGGCAAAAAACACATATTGTTACGAGCAACATACTGAACAATTCGGCTAACGCCATTTTAAACCTTTATCGCGTCTTTAATTGACAAACAAAATCACGTTGTCTTTTAAACTACTTTAGTCACTACTGTTTCGTTCCATATTTATCACAGATAATTACTATTATATTCAAAACGATTAAAAACTCTCCAAAGTACATAAAACAATTCCAAGTTCATTGTTTGAAAAAACGATGTGTTCAGTAATTTTTTTGCGAATTCAAACAATTTCTTTACCTACAGGTATTCTTTAATTTCTATATTATATAAATTGAAATAATTTATTAGTCCTGGCTAAAGTAAAATGACAGCCAAACTGTATTCAGTTTAAAAATACTTTCAAACAAATAAATTGTGTATATTTGTTATAAAGAGCACAAATGTATTTTGTCGGATGAATTAAGAGACAGCTTGTATGTAAACCCACGAATTCTTAAAGCAGGTCACACATTCGCGACTCAGCAACTTCATGCGTTGTCCATACAGTCGTAGTTAATTAATTATTTGCAAATTTAAACATATTTTATAATAATCCATTTTCATAAATATTTAACATTTTAAATTTAAGAAAAACTTTCAATTTAACTAATTACTTTAACCTATTGTATCCTCTACAGAAGATTAATTTTATTCCTTGATTTAATATTGCATCTCGAAAGGTTTGAAACAAAATGTTTCGGTAACCAGCATTTCTAGGAATCATCATTTTTATACTCATAATGGACTACATAATTAATTATGTATCTACCTATAATACATGAATCATAAACATCTTGAAATTTTATGTAATTCTAAAGTTTCCTATTTAAACTAAGCGAATTAATTCATTACTTTATGCGTAAATCTAGTAATCGCTTAAGCTGAAGATGATAACTTGTATTAACATCAAAGTGATGAAATTATGATTAAACGGTACCCAACTACTTGAATATTATAAAACCCAAGAGCATAGAGGCTTATGTTACAAGAATTTGGCTATAATAGATACAATAATATGTATCTTACAAACCAAATGCAAATACAAAATCCTTTGCTATTTATGTATTAAATATATTAGGAAATTAAATGTACTAGGATAATGATATAAGTATTTATTGTCTTGTAGAAAAATACAATTTTGTTTCATTTTTAAATAAGAGCTGTTCTTGTAATTTCCGCACTTTAACAGAAAACTAACGCATGTCTTGCAGATAATTCAGTCATTGGCGGAAAGATGGCATCTAATGATATTTCATGGGAATTTGGCGGAAAGTATGCCTAAAATAAAGTCGTCCAATAAAATAGTTTTAAGACTGATCACTAAAAGCCCCAAAGTAGCATATCACACCGTCCTTGGGAAGAGGTTGACTACTAAGGAATTTTTCAGGTGCTACTTTCTTTTTCGCCAAGTTCTGTTCCTTCTCTTCATCAGTAACTGTATCCAACCAAGACATATTTTGATCACTAGCTATTAAGACATCGTCGATAATATTTTGTGGCTAAAATTTTTTTTCTTCGACACATTTTTAATATAAAAATATATGAAAATTACAATCGCTTTTTTCAGAGGTAACACTTTCCTGGGAGGTAGTTCTTTGAAAAAGTCTTCAATTTTATTATTTTGTAACATGAGCAGTATAAACCAAATATATTCATTTCTGATATTCATTTCTTCTTCGTTTTCATTTAGCTCTGCCAGTACATCAAACCAAATTCTGATATGTTGTCGGTCTAAAATACAATTACTTCACCTACTTAGATGTTCTACAGTAAAATATATGTACCTGCTGCTGGCATTAGCTGTACTAAAGCTTTTGCCAGCATCAAATTGTAATGAAACTGTTCATTTAAATCTGCCATTTTCACAAGAATTTTTGAAAGACAATCAAACTGACACTGCGGAGAAACAAATGTTGCAACCGTTTCTAAACACAAAATGTCAAATTTAATTTGGCATAAATTTGAGTGAACCATCATATTCATCACTAATCCCTTTTATTCTAACATCTTATGTGTAAACCGTATCTCGTCATTCAAATTGTGGATATTCAGAAATCTGAAATAAATTCTCTATTCTGATACGAACAATTCTTTCAAACTCTATTGACTGGTCCATGTCACGAAGTCCTGCTCTAAAAATGCATAATCTATTTAATAATGTTTATTAACAATTTTTTGTTATACTACCTACCTAAAGTGCCATCTTTTAGGGCGTTTCAGTTTCATCTTGAGATGGTCCCTCTGCAATACTTACTGCAGTGCTGGAACTAAATTTTTTGTATGGAAATAGTATATTTTCCAGAAAATTTAGTTTAATCAAATTTTTGTTTTGGGTGGCTTATGGCTCTTTTCAAACTGATCTTTTGAGTCGAAATTTTAATTATTCAGCTGTCCGTAAAGTTGGCTTATAATGTTAGGGCCCCAGTCCATCGTTGTATGCGATGATGCACTGTCTTGTTCCCAGTATGTTCTCAGTTTCAAACATTTCCTGTTGCAACTGTTGCACCTACACCTTCCTCGGCATCTAAACAACTATTAATTATATCGTCGATATTGTCTGCATCCTCTCCCGGCTTCTGAATAACTTCTTGTATTTTTTGACCAGGGGGTCGATTCTCGAACTCGTTCGAATAAGTTCCGCATACGCAAGTGACCAACTTCCGAACGGTTTTGAAGATTCGGTATTCTCGAACCGCGCGCACACGTTGGTATACGCAAATGTTCGAGCGTATACGAACGTCAAGTTACGAGTGGGTAGATGCGATCGCATTTTGGTTTGCGAGTGGTAAAAGCTAACCTAAAACTCTGTTTGGTTTTGATAGTTCTGTTGTAACGTCAATATAATATCTTTAATATGCTGTATCTGTTAATATACATTAATAGAAAGGGTTACCATTCCAAAAATACACAAATTGTAATGTATCAATTTGATTATGGGAATTTTATAATTTCATTTACAATTTTGACATTTGTGATGCAAATTTAAAAATTTTAAATTGAAACAGCCGATTTCTGTGTAGTACACATAATAGCTACATATGTATGAAGAAACAACGGACTATTGCGATATTTTGGGTAATTTCTAATAATACATTAACACGTTCTTATTATGGTTGTAACAATAATTTTTAGGTGACTCTGGCTAGACACTGCGAACATTTCAAATATACGTGCAGTTGTTTCAAAAATAAAAACTAAAATGAATTCTGAAACATCATTTACTGTACAAAACGGTTGTAATGGTATCCATAAATATACCTGAATAAATATCGGGTAACCAAACGCTAAGAATTCTCTATAAACTAGGAGAGTACACGCAGTAATAATAATAATATGCAAATACCTGCTGGCTGCGGTGGTCCCACTCAAAAATAAACATTATTAAGTTTATATCTGCATCATTGTAAAAAAATCACAAGAATTTATATTAAATACGTAGGGTTGCATAAAATCATAAAATCAACATTTTTTTTTAATCACGATTTTTTTATGTTTTTGTAGTCTGTCAATTATTTGGGATTAAAATAGTAAGTATCCGACTTAATGTCATCCATGAGTCGTACTTCTTAGTTTTGAACAATAAAGAGAATTTATTGTAATTTACATTGCAAAAATGGAATTGATAGTGTTATTTATAATATTTACTCCAATAACACAGGCCTGCGATGGTTTTCCCCCAACAAAATAAAGTAGTAATTTCGGTAGGTCTTAGATACTCATGTATAAAAAAAAATTGCAAAAATTTCTATCACGTACAGTTTCTGCAAAAAATATTTTTTTCAGTTTTGTTCTTAGTACTATAAAAATTAACTTCTAGATTTTGTGGTAATAATATGTATGGATAATGGTGTTGATATTTCATTTCGTGTTCAGCTTAGTAAGAGTTATTTGTGTCGACTATGCGCTTACTACCCTGAATTTAAACAAAAATTACTAATGTCTTCTCGGAAATGGGTTAATTCTTCAGATAAGTTTGCTGACACCAATGATTTGGATGGAGCCACAAAATCATGCAGACGATTGTTACTTTTGCTGTTCAAATATAAAATGATATAATGCGAAAAATGTAACAGCAATAACATATCCTATCGTGAATACAAGAGAAAACGCTTAAATCAGAGCTTTGAAGACAGAAAAAAAGAAGCTTCTTGATTTATTTGTTTTTTTTAAGTCTTGTTTATAACTAATTTAGTTCATTTAATAAATAAACATTCAATTTTATATTCTTTATATTTTATTTTTTCAGAAAAATTGTTTGAGAAACTATGAATATTTAGGCCTACATAAAAATAAATCTCGATGTGCTACAAAAAAACTAGAGTTATATTTTAATTCAGCATACATAAATACCTAAAAAAAAACAATATTATTTAAAAGGGAAATTAAAAGTTATATTTCGCAGGCCTGTGTAATCTTTAAAATACAATTTAAAAGAATTATCGTTCCATTTTGTTGGAAATATTGTATTCTAGTTAAAGTTCAACTTATTTTGATATAAATTTGCATTAAATGGGCCGTAATATGCATTGCATATTCCAAACTGTAAAGAAAACTAAAAAAAACAATAATACTTTAAAGCAATAATTTAAATCGAGTCAATCCTGCTAATACGTGTTTTGCTGCTTAATAAATTTGGAGGTAACAGATTAAAAGTTGTAAAGTTGCCGCAGTCGAGATGGTTGGGAGGGGGTTCGTCGAGATGGACCGTAATGAAAGTTTTACTCCCATCTGTATTATTCGAGGTAAGTAGACAAGTTTACAACGATGGGTGGTTAAGCCCTAATAAAAATTAGTGGAAATCAATAGACGCCTGAGACAGACTCGGCACAAAAGTTCTGGTCAAAGTATACTATACTATAATCATCACGCCCAATATCCACAGTTTTTTATTTTAATGAAGGACACAACAGCTCAAAAAATTCTTGTCTTCTTTGTAAAAACAAATTTTGGCAAAAGCTAAACATTCACTTTTGAAACCCATAATCTTAATATTTTGACTTTATCGAAATAATTTTAGAACTATAAATTATAAACAGCTCGTTGAAAAATAAATTTAAACAAAAATAAAAATGTATTATTTATTTATACAATGGGGGAATTACTTATGGGATAAATTCAGAAATTTCAAAACTAATATTTTTCGTAAAAGTTAAAACAAGTTTGTATTTCTAAATACGTAATTACGCTATTTTTAATAAGCTGTTACACCCATTTGTAACGTAATTACCTAGTACGTCATATGCATTTTTTTTTTTTTTAATAGAATGCTATATTTTTATGTTAGGTATTTCGTTTATTTGTAGATAGTACCTTTAAAGGCATTTTCAAGGAAACCACATTTATTACCCTAATTTTCAAGAGTTCTTGAGATTATGTTATTACACTACATTTTTACGCTCTAATTAAAGGGCCTATACAATTTAAAAAAAGTTAAAAAAACATTAAAATTTGCTGATTGTTTTTTGATAAAACCAAAGTTCCACCAGTTTTCAATTTTTTTACACGTTTGTGGGATGTTTATATTCTTTAGTTAGATAAAGTGAGTATTTAAAATACCTATATATCATTTACGTGCTTAAGAGTACAAAATATAGCATTTCATTCAAAAAATTAGTATGCGCTCAGCTCAAAAGTGAACGATGTCATGAACAAGCGAAGAAAACAGAAAACAACGTTATTAGAAATAAGGGAGTGAGTGTGTGAGTGAGTAAGTAAGTAAGAGGTTCTTGCCAATTAGAAACAAAAATTGCCTAGTTTCTTTAGTGAAATACGAGTTTTAATTATCTGCCAGCATTAAAAGAACCAAGTTTTTTTTGTGGTTGTTACTAAAAAACAAACAACAACCGGTTGGAGAAAATGAAGTGGAAGAAAACTCTGTTTGCAAATAAAGACATATATACCTTTAAAAAAATATCATTCAAAACAGACTTATTGCAAATCGCAAGAGAACATAAGGAATCACAAGAATTTCAAAAATGTATAGTAGGCCAATATAAATAGTCACATAATTTTCTGTGTCACTGCCACACTATTATTGTCAGTAAAAAGCCATAATAGATATTTATTGTGTAACAGTGTTATGTAGCAACTTTATTCACACAAGACATCGAGACATCGTTTATTCTGGAGATCGCAAACCGAGAGAATAAGAATAATAATAAATAAATGAATAAGTGCCATAATACTTAAATGTAATATAATATGTTATTTTATACAATTTAAAACCGATTTATTGTTTACAGTTTTGAGGTGATGTTATCACATTATTGGTGGGGATGATTAGACAAAGTTTGGTTAGTGTTTTGCCATCTACATCTACATCTGATATTCCTAATGCACATCAAATTTGACAACAATCGGTCTAGTGGTTTCGCATATTATCTGTCTAACAAAAATTGTCACGGACGGCGGACAGACAGACAGACGAACGGAAATGGCAAACACATTTTTTCGTACTCTAGATGTCATGAAAGGTCCACATAGGTGTTTTTTTTATAACAATAACTACAAACGCTAACACATATGTAGAAAAAACTCTAGTAAGCACAGATACGACCGTAGGTATGTTGACTGTTGAAGAAAAGCATATGACTGTAAACCATTTAGTCGGTTAAAATAAATGTCGTTAAAAATATACACAGTATTTTTATTGTATAATACTGAAATTTGCCGAATTCTGTAAAAAGATGTAATAAAGTTGCGATCGAAAAAACAGAGGGAAAAATAAGCAGCAGGGGGTTGAAACATGCTGTAAAGGTTCACCATTAACACAATATGTACATTTACTAAAACAATGGTACTTCCAAACTCGATGATACTACTATTAATTAGCTTATTGGGACATAGTTGAATATACTACTGGGTTTTTCTAGTGAAAGAAAATTTCTTGTAGAAAGAAAACATTGTTCACTACATAGACATCACTTCACACGACTACGATGGAGGCTTTGTTGACACTAGATCAGCAAATTAGAAGGCAAAGGTTCCAAAAGCATAGTGGCTAGTATCACATATGCCACTTGTTCCTAATAGTGAAGCATTTTAGATTCCCGTATCTTATAAATAAAGAATCATTTTGTAGTCAGCATCACCGAATATTAAAACCATAATTTCTTGCACTGGCCCCAATTTTCCTAAGGCTTAACTAAGATTTCGGCAGTGGATCATTTCAAGAAATCAAACAATAATTAATGGTGTTGAACAAACTTCTAGCGTCACTATTTGTTCTGTTTAGTACGTCATTCAACTATTTACGTGACCCTTGGAGACACCATGTCTACGAAAATCCACTGATTGCGACGCTTTTTCGGAACTTGTCTGTTAACAAAGCGTGTGCTCCACGCGTGACGTCAATATATTTAAATCATCAACTGACCTACTAACCAGACGTGTCACAAACTACTCTAGTCTAACTGATAGTTGATCCAATACCTGAACATTGTATAACTAATTAAACTATATATAATTAAATATCAGTGGAGCGTATTCACAGTCACAAATGTCAAGCGGACCGGGAGAAGCATATGCGGGAGGTATACCTGATTTTTAATGCAATTGATCAAGATAATTAAATATAATTATAATAATTAATAATACAAACAGAATTTACAATAAATTGATTCCAATTTTTTAAAAAATATACAACATGTAATACAAAAACGTGTAAATAAAAAATAAATAGAAAAAAAATAGCGATATTTCGATATGTTTTTACTTTCAGATTTAGATTTTTGTATTTACCCGAAACAAAAGTTTTTGTTTTCTTTGTAAATTATTTTTTGGCCTCCTGACATGTAAACGTCAAATTAACATTCAAATGACATCTTCGGAAACATCAAATTTACAGTCATCCTGGATGTTTACCACCCGGCGTGCGTAAAAATTGCCCAAATTGTCCGCTCTTC